GTTTGTCACAGCCCCTCGTTTGTTGTCCTCTTCTCCCCCTCTGCCTACGGTTTACCGGGCAGTTCTATTTGACCATATATATATATATATATATAGAGCTGCCCGGTATATATATCTGTTTGTGACGATATATATATATATATATATATTGATATATGTATATTTTTTTTCTGGTATCATGGATGATATCCTTACTGTTACGGATTTGGCTGTGGGTTTTCTTGGGCTTGCCACTTATCCTGCTTGCAACGTTAGACGATGCCATGGCAATAATGCTAGCTTTCCAGTCGCCGGAACTCGAAGTCGTTGGATTGACAACAACATTTGGAAATGTGCCAACTGCAATGGCAACGCGGAATGCCCTCTGTTTGGTACGTCATATCTGCTGCATTATCCCTTGTCTTTTTCTGGTCGATTAAAATGCTGAATCTTCTGTGTTTTGAGGTAAATGCTGATGGAAGATGATAGCTTGCTAACCTTTTTTGATTTTTTTTTTCCCTTTCCTAGGGGTGCGATTCAAGCCTGTGGACTTTGCAAGTCGTATGCAGTGTGCACTAACTGGCATGTGTGGGAACATACATGCAAACATAGCAGCACGAGACGGAAAGAGAAGTGGTAGGGACACTTATCGGATACTCACAGTGGGATTTTTTTCTGTATAGAATCTGGTCGTAGCTGCAGTCATATACATTCTGGAGAGACGTACTATGAGTGTGACCTTGGTAATATTGAGGTCTGTTCTTTTTAGAGTGGTGTGGTTTTGCAGCACTGGAGCCTGAGGACAGAAGAGTGGGCTTCACCAACAAGAATGGGCGCAGGGAGAGGACACATATGCAGTGCTGGATTTAACATAGCGGGGGAAGAGAGAGAGAGAGAGAGAGAGAGAGAGAGGGGAAAGGGGGGAGGGTTAGGAGAACTCGGCGGGTTGCTGCACGTGGCTGTGCAACGTGGTGCAATTTTTTATTTTATTTTACACTTCAAGGCCTTGGCGGCATACCCCCCCCCTTCCCCGTGGGTTGTGCAGGCCATGAGGGAAGGGGAAAGGGGTGAGGGTATGGAGAAGTTGTGGGGGAGAGCGGACGGTAATGATGTGGTAGATTGGTTGATCTGTTTTTCCCAACCTTTTTTTGCCCCCTTTTTTTGCCCCCTTTTTTTGCCCCCTTTTTTTCCCCTTTTCCCCCCCCTTTTTTTCCCCCTTTTTCCCCCCCTTTTTTCCCCCCCGTTTTGTTTCCCCTTTTTTTCCCGTTTGTGAGTGGCTTTGTGTGTATGTGTGGTTGGCGAGGAAGAGGGGAGAATAGCAAGCTTTTATTTCTTATTTGAATAAGAGGGGAGGAGATAAGGAGGAGGAGATTGGTTGGCGAGGAAGAAGAGCCTTGTCATTGGTCTATGCTGGAGTACATCATCTTCTTCTTCTTTCTTCTTCTTCTTCTTCTTCTTCTTTCCCTCTCTCTCCTCTCAAGCTCATTCATTATCTTTTTGCAATTGGACAGCATTGTACTTTCTGATGTTTGTATACTTCGAAATTGGCCAGGATCGTAACAAAGGAGAAGAAGAAGAAGTCTGAAGAAGAAGAGAAGAATCAGAGAGGGGCAGAGGAGAAGTGGAGGCAGAGAGAAGAGAGAGAGGGGGCGGAGGTGAGTCCTCCTGCCCGTGCCTTGCTGTCCAGATTATACCTGCAATGGCAAGGTGGGACCTTGGCGCTGCTCAAGGCCGGCGACGAAGACTAGAGCTATGGACGCTCCTCCAAGTAAGTCGGACGCTGCTCCTCTAACCTCCACTGCGCTAATCTGCGCTGAGCGCTTGCGCTACCAAACTTATCGCAACGCTTCCTCACTGCTGCGTTGCTCCGGAATGCCTGCCGAACAGACCGCCGCTGGGTACTAAGCACCGTGGTGGCCTGTTCGGCCTTGCTGTTTCGAAACAGCACTGTGGTCTGAACCGTCAGATCCGGTTGCCGATCTGCGGTTTCAGATCGGCCTTGCGGGCGGCAGCCTCCAGGGCGTTGTTGGTCCAAACGGTAATATCGTTTGGACCGTGTCCGCTTTGGGCCTGTGCGACGGGGCCTACCGGGCAGCCTTCTGCGTAAAGGTCCGGCCTTTGGACCGGACCGGCCTGGACTGTCGTGTCCAGGCCTGTGGTACCCCTAGGCCTAGTGGTCGGGTCCGAAAGGGACCTGTGTGGCATCAGTATGTAACACACTGCCCCCCTTAAAAGACCGAGCTACCTGCGAGGGCGAAGTTGTCTGTCTGATACCTGCGTGGGTCGGGTGGGACAAACTTTGTCCTTGGCAAGTCGCCGGTTGTCATAGTCGGAGAAGATGAGTGGTGCAGATGCTTGTAAGTTTGCGTGGGAGATCCAACGTGTGTCATCAGGGGCACATTGCTTGAATGTGACTTGGTATTGCATTGGCTTGTTGCCATACTTGCGATGCGTGATGACACGGTTAACTTCCTGATGTCCGTCCATAGAGGGCGGATCCTGTGATCGTCGGCCCGGACACTCATCCTCGGAAGGTGGCGTATACACGACCAACTTTGACGCATGGAACACCGGGTGCACTTGGCGGTGCGGTGGGATGGCAATCACAAAGGAAGGGCCAGCAGGATCGTCGCCTGCTGCAGAAATTACCTTCCATGGTCCGAACCATTTCGGGAGGAGTTTGCACGAGATGTCTTGCTCCAGCGCGAATTCCTCAACGAGGACCCAAACAAGGTCTCCCTTGCGGAAAGGACCTGGGAGTCGACGTCGGTTGGCTTGCTGCTGCATGCGGATTTGAGCCTTTTGCATGTTCGCTCGGGCTTTGATCAGCAAGTCCCGGTACTTCCGAACGGAAGTGGGAGAGCAAGCAACGTCGATGTCAGCGGCCCGTGGTAAAAGAAGATCGGGCTTTCTCGAATGGCGTGATGCAGATTGTTGGGTGCACCGAAGTGTTATAGGCAAACTCGATGTCGGGAAGCCGGTCAACCCAATCTTTCTGGTCGGGACGGATGGGTGTACGTAACATCATTTGATCGTCTGATGCGCTCGTTCCAACTGTCCATCCGTTTGCGGGTGCCGTGTGGAACTCGGCTTCATAGTCGAACCAGACTCCGTCATGAGGGAAGTCCAAAAGGCTGAGATGAAGCGAGTGTCTCCGTTGCTCACAATGTCTTTCGGAACACCGTGGCAGGTAATCCAGCCAGTGTGCAAGAATCGTGCGAGCTCGGGGGCTGTAGCACGGTACTTGCATGGAAGAAAGCAAGCGTACTTGCTCAAATGGTCAACGACCGTGAGGATGCCGTCATGACCGAGGCGATCGCGAGGAAACGGGCCTGTAACATCCATAGCAATGGAGAGGCGCGGTGCCCGAGGGATTGGCATCGGTTTCAGTTCGCCATAAGGGACCTGAGAACTGTCTTTGTTACGATGGCAAACTGCACATGACTCAATGTACCTCGTGACGTCATGAAGAATGTCAGGCCAGTGAAAACACTGGCGGAGGTGGGCCAATGTGCGGGTCACGCCAAGGTGTATCGACAATCGTGCGTCGTGGAATTCGTCGAGGAGGTGAGTCCGTAAGATGCGATCTTGGGGCACCACCAACAAGTCCTTTCTTCTCGTATGGAGGAGTAGGAACCCGTCGGAGTTACGATAGTGACCGGCCGGCGGGTGATTCGATGAAAGCTTTGCGTAGTGCGTGGAGTATGTTGGGTCGGAAGAAGTGCTGCTGCAGATCGTCGTCGAGCTGGAACGTCGTAGTCACTGGTGCTAAAAAATCGGGCCGTCGTGAGAGGGCGTCCACTGTTCGGTTGGTGGGACTGGGGATGTGGCATGGGTCGAAGTCAAACTGGTCGATGTAATACATCCATCGACCGATCGTGCTAGTGATCGTATCCTGCGTTTTGTAGTAGGTCAACGAGTTATTGTCCGTGTTCCATTTGAAACGCCGACGACCGAGAAGAAAGTGGCGCCACCGTTTGGGAACCGTGATGAACGCGAGTAACTTTTTTTTCCTAGTGTCATCGAGAGAGTTGACAAGAGGCACCTTTTGGGAGAAGTACTCGACCGGGTGCCAACCGTCCGGGTGGCATTGTTCTAACACCGCACCAATACCGTACCCGAAAACGTCCGTAGTCACTTGGGTGGGTAGGGTGGGGTCGTAAATACGGAGGGCCGGCGCGGCTTGCATCGCCGCCTTCAACGTATTGAACGCGCCACAAGCTGCATTGTCGAACTCGAATGGGACCTTCGGGGATCAAAGTCTCGACAAAGGAGCTGCCACTTTGGAGTAAGACTCGATGAAGCGCTGATAGTATCCAGCCAAACCCATGAAAGAGCGTACGTCCGTAGTGCAACGGGGTTCCGGCCGAACCACGATGGCTTGGATCTTGTCCGCTAACGGACGAATCCCTTTCGGCGTCACATAGTGGCCCAAGTACCCAAGTTCTTGTTTGGCGAATTCGCACTTGTCGCGGTTTGCTCTGTACTTGGCTGCTCACAAACGGTCCAACACCGCACGAAGGTGTACGAGGTGCTCGTCAAGCGTTCGGCTATAGACCAAGATATCATCGAGGTAGATGAGGACGGTACGATCGAGCAAGTCTCGGAACTCCGTTGTCATGGCTGCTTGGAAGGTTGTCGGGGCATTGGTGAGTCCAAATGGCATCACGACCCACTCAAAATGCCCATACCGCGTTTTGAAGGCGGTCTTGTACTGGTCTTGAGGCGGGATTTCAATCTGGTGGTAACCCGACTTCAAATCCAACTTCCAGAAGTACGTCGCGTAGCCCAACCACTCAAGGAGATCATCGATCCGAGGGAGAGGGCCGACGTTCTTTACGGTTTGTGCGTTAAGTTTCCTATAGGCGATGCACAACCGTAGGTCCTTATTCTTCAACCAGACGAAGAGAACAGGTGGACCGTATGGCGAACAACTAGGACGAATCCAACCTTTGTCGAGGAGGTCCTCGAGTTGTGCGCGTAGCACCTCGAGTTCCTCTTCGCTCATGCGGTAGATGCATCTATGCGGAGGGATGACACCAGCCTCGAGAGTAATCCCGTGACATATGGCCCGATCCAGAACCATTTCGGTGGGAGCCTCGAAGACGTCTCCATATCTGTCCAGGAGGTGAGTAATGCGTAGGTCCAGCAGCGACGCGGCTGGTTCGTCCGTCGAGGGGAGGGCATGTAGGAAAACAACTCCCATCTCCTCTACGTCATTCCGAGCTATGGCGTCGCGAATCCTCGCAACGAAAACCACGTGACAAGCAGTCTAAGTGTGACGAGTCGTGACCGTACACGGGACTAACACTCCGTTCCGATCACGGACGTGAACGGTTCGGTCATGAAAGTGTACCGGGTGGTCGGCGCCACGCAACCAAGACATGCCTAA